TGCGCGTTACGGCGGCGCTCCCTGCGCCAGCCGCTCCTGGCGGAGTAGGCATCGAAATATGACAGAGAGAGGTAGAATGGGATCGGTGCCGCCCGTGTCGATGATCATTGTAGACTCCTGATTCATCAAACCTCAAAAACCTGAGGAGGTGCAAATCAAACCAAACATAACCAAACCAAATTGTCAGACCAGCCTCAACTGGGCCCCAATCTCATCCTTGATTTCAAGGTAAGGTGGATGCTCCCAACCCGAGCCGTCGCTCCCTCCGAACCGCACCCAGCGATCAAATCAGTCTTGGGCCCCCAGCTTTCTGTGTGTGGGTGTCCTACCTGGAGACGTATAGTAGTGAGGGGTCCCTCCAGCCGGGTGACATCTTGGGGCCTCACTCACTCGCTACTCGCTGGCACACCTCTTAACCGGGCAGCCGTCCCAGGTCCAAACTGAACTCGTCCGCCCACGTCTGTCCCAAATCTCTCCTGCATGTTGCTGGCCAGCAAGCGCGCCAACTCGCCATCCAAACCAAACCGCGCGCAGAAGCGGCTCGACAGCTCGTAGCCTCCGTGAAGCATCTCGGGGCCGGAAGAGGTGGCAACTTAAAGGACCCGGACCACCAATGACTCAAAGAAGAGGCCTCACGTCACGGTTCCAAGTGTTTATTGGGAAATCATTCGGAAGGGCCTCATTGTGTTTGTAAGGGTTTTAGGTGCATCTTCCAATCCCATGGATTGTTTGAGGCATCTTTGACCCGTTCACCCATTCACCACGCGGTTTCAAAGAATTCATCCGCGACAATATAAACATTGGAGATGATCTCGCTGGAGGGCCCTCCATTTGCTCAGCCTGCCATGTGGGATGGCTCTTGAAAAATTGACTTTTGGGTACCATGGACCGCCCCAACAGGTGGTTTCTCCGTCACCCGGAAACAGCGATGGTGGAACTCGAAATGTTTTTTTCAACGAAGCCAAAGCCGGAAAAGGTGTGTCTGGTTACCCCTGGGGGTCCAAGACCATTTCTTAAATGGCCCTTACGTGAATCGAAAAGGAGTTTCCTCTACTTCGGTGTTGCCAAAAATGGTCGTTGGACTTCTAGGGTTACAGTAACGTAGACTCTTGATTCATAAGCCTCCCATATGAAGAGGTTCTTTCAATCTGATGAAAGGCTGAAAGGTTTTAAAATATTTCACGTATCCACAAAAATATTCGACACACATCAATAAAGAAAACCTACTAAATCCAAACATTTCCAAAATAGCAATGGTAGTAAGGGTAGCAGTAATAGTAAGAGGAGTAGCAGCAGCAGCAGCAGGAGTAGTAGTAGTAGCAGCAGCAGCAGTCACAGCAGTAGCGATAGCTTAGAGTCGGTTAGCACGGGTTTACGTTGCATTCCCTTTGGTTAGGTTAGGTTAGGTTTTGGGTTAGGTTTAGGTTAGGTCAGGTTAGCGGTTAGTTTGCGTGTCTACAATGCATGTATTGTATGTCGTGTGCGAAACATTTGTCGCAAATGAAATGCGGGGTTTGCGCAGGAGTCCAGCAGCCGCTAGGCGTCCGTATGACGCCCTGCGGGCCTCCTGTCACACGAAATCTGTGGGAGCAAGTGAAGTTTCAAAATAAAGGTCTAGAGTTGCATACAGATCCTCGCGGCGGTTGTTTTTCATCGCCTTTGGATCTTCGTAACAGGCCTGAGACCAGAGTGAATAGTTTGCAGCCGCAGTCTCGAACTAGATTCAAGAAGGTGATGCTGCGATGGCTTGCGATAACAAATGAGCAGTAAGGTTGGCGGCCTCGGCTCCTGGACTGATCTCCGGCTGTTGGTCCTGAAATGCAAGAGTATGCATGATACTCGGATGATTTGAACGCGCCCCACCACAAGCAATCAGACCCACGTCACGGCTGCTTGATCTTCTAGAACTCAGAAGCTCGGCGAACCTGCCTTATGATCTTTGCCATCAGCTTCTGAGCAGGGAGGCCCGGCATTGTGAGACTGCCATGCTGCATAAGTGCCAGGGTGTCTGGATCATCCTCAAGAACCTGTGCAAGTTCGCAGCCTGTTCCTCTTTGCCAAGCACAAGCATGCAAGACTATGCATGATGGCACTCAACCTTATCGGATCAGACCGAAACCGGAACCTAGAATGAAGAAGGGTTCTGTGAACCTGCCTCTTGATCTTCGTCTGCCTGACAGGGCCCCCGAACAGGGAGGTTAACATGGTAAATTGTAAGCATTCACTTGATAGTTGACTCGGGGCGGGCGATTCCTGGATCACAAGAGAACGGAACTGAAACAAGTCATACGCAAACATATGCCCGCGTGCGCACCTTGCATTCTGCGATGATCCAGGTTGCCGGGCCGGCAGGCACTTGCGGAAAGCATGCCTTCATGGTAGGCAAACCCCACGAAGCAAGCACGCCAATATCGACTTGCTCCACATCAATAACGGGCCACAACGATGCCAAAGCGGGTTTGGCAATGTGGTTGAGAACTGCGGGAACGCAGGCGTTGAGTGGCTGGCTGAAGAATGGGTCACGATTTTTGGGTTTTTCTTTTTGAGTAATTTTTCTGGTAGCACTTTCATAGGGTGATTCCGTGGCAGGCACAGCACTTTGAGCACCTTCAATTGCAGATTTCGTGGTGAGCGCGGTACTTTGCGCGCAGGAAATGTAAACTTTGTGGCAGGAGCAGCACTTCGTGCGAAGCGCAGATTTCGTGGCAGGCGCAGCGCATCGCGAACCTCGAAGTGCAAATTTCGTGGCAGGCGCAGCACTTCGTGAACCTCGAAGTGCAGATTTCGTGGCAGGTGCAGATTTCGTAGCAGGGCAGCACTTCGTGAACCCTGGAACCTCGAAGTGCAGATTTCCTGGCAAGCGCAGGTGTTGACCCTGGACAATCATCTACGACGACGGCGATGACGATGATGATGATTCGATGATGATGATGATGATGATGACGGTGATGATGATGATGATTATGGATGAACATGATGACTCCGCCACAAGTGACAGGGCCAGTCTTGAAATGGGTTTTTTCGTGTCTCGTGTCAGAGCTTCCAAAAGTGATGGGAAAGTGGTTCGAGACCTGTTTGTCTAACAGTCCAACACTTCAGAGCTCACGTGTGAGTGAATGAAGCAATTGGGAGGATCACAGCTGGAGCAAGGAAGCTTGCAGCAAAGACAAATCGTGCCTTTTTTCGCGTCGCCTGGTCCACGTCGCTTTGGATAGGTGGTTCGAAGCGCAGCTACCCGATCCTCTCGGCAGCGGTCATGCCCTGGCAACATAGCAAGATAGTTGGAAAGATTGTGAGAAGAAGAATTGGTAAGACTTTGGTAACCTGAAATAAAGAAGCCTTCCACATAGAAGTGCAAGGAGCAGCGTCAGCACCCTTTCAGGCGCACCAAGAAGAAAAAGAACACGCTCACTCCGCAAAGTGAGGCATATGAGGCGAGCGCATGGCACATGGTCTGGAGCAGAATCTGCAGGAGGATGAGCCTTAGTCGAAAGCAATCTGTTTAACTGTCGTGGACCAAAAAAATTGAAAATGAAGCCCTCTGAGGCCAACACAGCTGCAGCATGCGCCGAGGCCTGGGAGATCGGCTTGGACACGAAAGTCGCGAAAGCTGAAATTTCACGTGGCAAAACGAGGGGCCGGAGGCATCGAAAAAATCTCACAAAAATATGAATTACCTGAAGAATGGATGGCACAGCGGGCGCTTTGCGACGTTTTTTTCCGGGCTGTGGCACAACTGCCACACCCATGGGGATGTGGCCGCGCTGCAGGAATGCAACTTGCACATGCTCAAACGCGCCATGGATGGGGGAGGTGTCTCCACTAGGGCCAAACACTTGACGGGCCCAACGGGCCCCAACAGCAACAGGCCCCCGTCGGGCAACGGGCCGACGGGCCCGCAATGGGCCAACGGGCCCGCAACGGGCCCACGCTACCTTTCTTTCCTCATGGTGTTTGTTTGTGCGTGTGTCTGGCGCGCGCAACAAACAAGCACAGGTGCGCAGCAATTATTTGCGCGGCGGCATTTATCTTGTACTAACCTCAAACTATCTATTACGCTATTATGCGGGGTCCCTATCTTGTTTAAATCACTCAAGTAGAAGGACATGTCACAGTATCTCGTTGGGACTACATTAGCAGCAGATCACACTATCCCGTTCAGACTGCTTCAATATCATCAAACAGCAGTATCTCGTTTATGTGGGGGCTATATCTCATTCACAAGCAAATACTGCTGATAGATAAGCAAACAGAGCATGTTGTAGACCACTTTCGTAAAGCCTCCAAGAAAGCGGTTGCTCATTTGTTCTAGGGTGAGTTGAAAAGGAAGCACCACTCTGACAAATGCGACGAAACGAAAGGAAACGAACCCTGTGTAGCAAACCAAAACACCAGCACACAGCCTTCGATTTTAACGCCCCAGATACGGACAGAGACTCATTACAGTAACGCATATGGTTTTGACTATCTGCATGCACACTGCACAGCTCATCCATTCGTCTCATCCGCGCATACATCGCTCTACAGCGATCTGCAGTGCAAAATTTGTTGGGCTGAGGCAAGTTCATCGCATGTTGCAGCATGGCAGACGGTTGAGAATTGCTACAGCTACTGCGGACTCACTTGTTAAAGCTTGAGGGGTCTCCTGGCCAAGCTTTGCATATAAGCTTGAAGTCAAAACAATCCTCGCGCCAGCTTGGAAAAGACACGGCTGCCTTTAGTATCTCACGTACGACACACCGTCCGGGCAACGGGCCCCAACGGGCCGACGGGCTCTCGACGGGCCTGTGAGGGGCCGACGACGCGCCCCTGGCGGGCAACGGGCCAACGGGCCCGCAACGGGCCAGCCCCAGGCAAAAGTGTTGCAGTTCAGGCAGGCCACCGTTCGGTAGGATGGGCTGTCCCCGCTGCTGTCCTCAAACTCAAAAAAATCCAAAAAGCTGCAGCTCTCTCCCCTGCAACACAAGCACATGCATTGAAAGCAAGCGACACAACGGCTCTCAACAGCTCTCAGGGTCAACCTGCACTGGACCGGCTGCAGCGCAACCTCCACTCTGCCGGGCGGCCAGGAGATTGGGCATGTCTTTTGCCTTGAAAACGGCCCGCAATTGCTCGGCAAGTCCACGCGCCAACCTACGAACGGAAGCGTCGGGCGCCAAAATCCAATGCCCACCGTTCTTCTTCTGTGTTGCCAAAGTGTGGCGCGTTGCATACCAAAAATTACAAGCTTGATCACAACAAGTGTCAAAAGCTGTTGTTGAGTGATATTGCTCCGCTGAAGGCCTCCCAGCCGCAGTCAAAAGCTTCGAGTCGTGCAAGACGTGCAGGTCAGGAAATGGTTCGACAGGTCTGTCTGGGAGAGAGCGCCAGGAAGATGAGGAGCTGACAAGTGCCGGCTTTGAGTGAAAGAGCTTAAAGAAGTAAAATATGTTTTTGTTTCGATACAGTAAGTATATGTAGGATGCCTATGCCAAAACTTTCAATTCAACTCGGGTTGATGAATCAAGAGTCTACAAATTCGTTTGGCCTGGTCTCATCCCTGCCAGGCGGCAATCGTCTCCGTCGTAGTAGTGGATCTCCTGAAGGCCTTGGGACCGAGTCGCGGCGAAGTAGGATCCAAGGGACTCCAGGAGGGATCCCCTCACAAGAGGCCACAAAGATCCTGTTGGGGATGATGAGGCTTCTGCCCCCGTGAGGAGGGATCCCACGGACTCGTGGGCCTCCAGATTTTGAAAGCCCACGAAGTGGGCCTGGTCACCACTCTAGGCAGAGACGAAGATGGACTTCCACCAGGCTGGCGGACTGAAGAGGCCGGTCACCGGTCCGTCCACCCGTCTCGGTGCCTTCCTCCGTCTCCACGTCGAAGATCATCCGCGGCGGCCGCTCCAACAGGTCCAGCTGCTTCTCGAGGCCTGCTGCCGTCCGCGCCGCCCGTCTCACGTCGCGGTCGATCCGGAGGAGAAAACTCCGGACGGAGAAGCTGGTGTCGAGTCGGTGCTGGTGCATAGTTGAGCCGTCTCTTTCAGCACATATATATATATATATATACCCTAGAAGTGGAACCACCATTGTTTTAATAGCCTTTACCGAACAACAATTGTTTCACTACGGGGCTTACACTACAAAACCAGATGAACCTTTTTTTAAATGGTCTTTGACTTCCAGGGTATATAATGGTATATATATATATATATATTATACACCCCATGGCCAGCCCTCTTGGGGTCCTGGCACCCCCTCCTCCTCCACCTGAGCGCCCCCGCGTCCGCGAGACCCGGCGATGCCCCCCCGAGCGGGCGCCGCCCGCGACCCGCCTTGCAGCTCCCGATGGATGTCAGGCTCGGTGGCCACCTTCTCCTGGCCGATGGGGTGCGGCGGATCGTCGCGGAGCGCGGAGCGGCCGATAGAAGAAAAATGCTGCCTTTTGCGAAAGGTGCCGAAGAGGGGTCCAAAGCTGGTGCATCAGGAATGTTAGCCTCCCATGGTTTGGTTGGGACCTCCTATAGCTACTACAAATGCTACTACCACCTCGCGTCCGTTTCAGCACGCCACTCCACGAGCCAACTCAGGCTCCCCTCCGCGCTCCCGTGCTCTCCGTGGCTCCGTCCTTCTGGAGCACGTCCAACGCCGACTCCGAGACCGCCTGGGCCGGACCGGTCCGAGACCGACCGGGGTGGATCGACCGGACGGAAAGGACCTGATCCGACCAGCAGTCGACGGGTCGGGGTGCTCGAGGTCTCGGTCGTCGAACGGGTGCGACTCCGCTAGTGCGACTCACTGGGATTGGGGGCAACCCCGTCTTGTGACTCGTGGTGATGTTCGATCGTTATTTCTGGATCCTCCAAAACAGGGGTCCACTCAGGATCCAGCTACCTTCACGGGGCGTCATCATGTTTTGATGAGATAAGGGGGGTCGGACTTGGATCCGGCTGTCCCAGATTGATGGGGAAGCCATCCGAAGTATGTCTCTCAACCAGGCAAGCTGAAGGCCTGTGAGAGACTTGTGTGCAAGCAACTGGAATTTCTCTGACAATTCGAGATGATCATCATAACTGCACATGGTGTATTTGAGCCTAACGTCCGGTGAGAAAGAAAAAAAAACACTTGGTGAAACCCATGCTGATGAACAACGAACGGTTGACACTCCTTCCATCAATTTGGAGGAATCTCCATGTCCAATCATGGCACACTCGCAGAACATGCCATTCTCCGCCCACTCCCCAGACAGTTCCCCACCTTCAACTTCTCAATCTCCCTGACCTTCTTCTGCAGCGCTCGAATCCGCCTCCTCACCGCCTCCGGATCCCCCACGTCC